TATAAAGCATGTCTAGCTAGTTTGGACAGATAATCCTTTGGAAAGAATATGACAAACAGAATAGAAGCAGTTTCTAAGCTCAAGGCAAAAAGGATATATATTATTGAGAGGGTATGCCTTCTCTGCATATCTGAGGTATTTAAAAAGAAGACAGGCCGTCTATTGGGTATTCCAAATCTGATAAAAGCTTTATGCTATTACGTTAGAATGAGCATACAAACAGCACTTGAACTCTCTCTTGATTCCAAGTTATTGAACCATTTTAATGAGCATGTCAGAAGAAATGCAAATGAATGCTAATTTAGCAAAACTACATTTCTGACATCTAAAAATCATTTATAGTTGGAATGATTTAGAGCTAATCTTTTTTACACGGATATGAGCATGAAGGACATTCATGAAATGCAATCTAGGCACAAGCCTCTCCACTACATTACTTCAGTTATTTTTCACCATTACTTCTCATTTACAGTAAGAGCGTGTGTGTGTATGTTCTCATGAAGTGCTTTAACATTGATAGGCCTCAGGATTGGGTAGAATGAAACCAAATACTTTGGTGATTGGATTTAAGAAGGACTGGAGAAGTGCTGCTGTCACACAAGTTGAAAACTATGTGGGTGTTATACAGTAAGTACCAGATCAGCATCACCCCTATTTTCTCCCTCTATTCTGTATTAATACTGCATTTCCATACAGAATTTGACAAGTAGAAACAATGTAAGAATATACCTAGAGATCTGGTTCACAAATGCTAGCTCTAAAACAGAAGTTTCTGTTCATTACAAAAAGCTCCACAGCTTCACACACCTAGCGAGATCTGCTCAGCAAACATCTGGCACAATCAGAGATTATGTGGCTTGACAACGTTACATAAAGAAGCTGCACGGCTGTCAGCAGTGCTTTTGCAGAACTATATTTTCCCTTTTTTTTTTGTAGGCTGGAGCTCAGTGAAAAACAACCCTAATGCACATACTTAGGGAATAAGAGAACATCATGGAATTCTTCTTTTAAGCCTAGGAGACAGACAAAGAGCCTTGCTTCAAATCTCTTGTGTGCCAAAGGCTCAGCAGCTCTGTGGGTTGGGATTTAGCCAGAAACAGTCATTTAGAAACAGTCTTCTCTGATTCTTGTTCAAAATTCACCTGCAAAACTGCAGCAAAACCCACCCCAGCTTTTTTATTTCCTTAGAGCAAGGAGAAAAAAATGACCTACTGGCAGCCTAGCTCCTAAAAAGTGTTGTATGAAAGACCCATTTTAAGGAATAGCCTATCTTTTCCCATACCCAGTGGTAGTACTCTTACTTTTTTTTTTTTTTTCTTTAATGAAAAATAATGTTGATACTGAACAGTACTTAATCTTGGACAATACCTCCTGCAATTTTATCCAGAACAGCCCAGCACACGGCAGTAATAACTCCCACTGAGTACTAACACTGAGCAGATGCTCAAGGTAGCTTTCCATCAGCAACATACATGATATAAAAGGATATATTCTCTTCTTTTGCAGTGATGCCTTTGATTTTGAACTTGGCATGATTATTGTCAGAATTAGCCAAGGATTTGATATATCTCAGGTCCTCCAGGTTCAAGGTATGTGTTATCTCAACATCTAAATTATATTTCACATGCACAATTGCTACAGGCTCTGCACAAGGAAGACTGATGAATATATGTAGTGCCACTATCCAGCTTCTAGAGTAGTTTCTACACATGTGACCTCTACATTTCCTCATTGCTTCTTCAGTTTCAATTCTGCCAAAAATCCTTGCTAAAGCCAACATCCTCTGGCAGTTGCAGAGAAGGCCAAGCCTCACAAAGTTATAAGTTCTACACACCAGATAACTCAACTTCCAAAGCACTTCTAGCACAGGCACAAGCTAAAGCAGTAAAATCACGCTGTGCCAGAGCAGCCTGTCACTGTGCAGCATGGCTGCTTCCTGCTTTTGACACATCTTCCTCACTGCCTACCTGAGACCTCTGGGCTGCTGGGAATTGGGAAGCTATGCTTTCAGTGACCCAGAAAGCCATAAAAATCTTGAAATCACAGGAAGCAATCAATTCCCCTTTCCACTTTTTTGTTCATTCTTCCTCAGATTAGCAGTATATATCCTTCAAGAGTTCCCTCAGGGAAAGAAAGAGTTTTCCCTCAAAAACCTTTTGCCATGGAGTTCAGGAAGAATGTCATATGGGTTGAAAACATGGAGAGAAAGCACACAGACAATATAAACAAAGGGCTTTCAGGAATGACATACAGAGGTGGCCTTGGTTTTCCTCTTTAGGACACAAGAGTCCAACTGGCTCTTCATGGATGCTGGGGAGGGAACAGCTCCATTTAGGGACCCCACTAGAACAATAATCATGTTTTCAGCATGATAACTTTCTCACTTTCTGCAAGCTTCACTACTTGAGCAGGCAGATACAACCTAAACCTAGAGATACTCCCAGAGCCCCATGTTCTTCTCACCAGAGAAAGTCTTTGTGTTATGGACGATATCTATAGACAAGAGCAGAGATGCTCATAGGAAAGGAGAACGGCGACTCTCTGCTGCCGCCTGCTGCAAACTGCCTCCAGCTTCTCCCCACAGCATCCCCGAGCTGCTGACAGATCGCGCTCCCGGCTGTTAAAAGAGCAACCGGAAAGGACATAAGAAATAGCTCAGCTAAATAAAACCGAGTCTAGCTCCTACCTAACCTTTCCTCCTTCTAGGATGGATTCTAGGGTAAGGCAGCCCTCAAAAGCAAATCACCTAAGAATTAAAACGATCCAGAAACACAAAAAAGAATATGCAAATATTTACCAAGCAGCCTCTCTGGCAGCCTGATGTGCATGGAGAGCTGCAGTACAAAACGAGAACTTAAGAAAATAGACCCAAAAGATCTATGCTTTCCTCAACCCCTCTAATACCTCCAGTACAACTTTCTACCCTCTTTGCATGATCTAAGTCAGAAACTGACTGATGAAAAAATACATTAGTTAGAATACCAGTGAAACTATAGCAAGTACAAAGTATTAAGACACTAGAAATGAGAAAAAGTTAGAAACAGTAGGGAAAAAAAGAAAATCCTCAAATATACAGAAGTGCTTTGAAGCAGATGCAGTTTCTGAAATGGAAAAAAATGATTATTTTCTATTTGCTATGAAATTCTGTTCAAGAGAGAAACTGAAAATCTATTTCTGAATAACCATTTAGTGGTTATCATCAGCTCTAATAATTAGAAGCATATGGCTGTCATGGATTCTAAAGTAAAAGAAATTATATTCATTTATGTTGGCAACCGAGAGTGCCAGCAGTGGTTATGATGTCTAGCTGATGAGGTTTTTTCTTTGTTTTAAAACAAAAAAAACCCCCAACATTTACCTCATTCTTAGCCCCCATACAACTCAAACGGACGACCTTCCCTCTAGAAAACAGCCTTCTGAAGGTAAATGTATCATATTAATTAGCACCTCACCATAGTGTATTCCATAATAACACATGGTACTCCTTTCTCAGCAGAAGTCTAATATTGCTAAGATGGAATTATCTTTTACATTACTGAATTTACAGAATTGTTCAGCTAAATCTTAACTCTTTGCAGCAAATGCTAAAAGAATAAACGATCAGAAATATTTCAGCATAGAAACCGATCACATATTCAGTACCCTCACATTTTTCCACGAATCTCAAGTCAAACTGATGCAGCCCTGTTCTTAGTCCAGTGGCCCAAGGGCTTAAAACAAATACATTAGCTTTCTCACTATAGGAAAACAGCTTTCCTAAAGTGTCTTCAAATTTTTAAGAAAAACAACCCTCAAACATAACTAAATACATAGCGTACTTTAAGTGACCATGAAGTGCAGTAATACTGAATTTGGCCTGGAAAAGGAAATCTGGGAAGAGTTAACTAATCCTTTAGTACACACCACTGCTGCAAAAGGCATGGGCACTCTGTGTTAAGGATTCCAGAGATTAATTCAGCTTCCTCTTCCCTATTGGCACAAGAACAAAGTACTTTCTTCCAGCAGCTTTACATTTTGTACTAAGAGCTACAACAGCAATTATAACATCACTATTATTTCAATAAGTGATTTTATTTAAAGTAGAAAATGATGTGTTCACAGTTCCCTTACGTTTTCCAATATACAGAGGAATTAGAGAAGCTGGAGCAGGAGAGATTGGTACTGGAAGCTACAATTAAAGAAAATGAATTTGAAGAAGAAAGAAGTGGCATCTGTGGATTCTTCAGAAAAGCCAGAAAACTCAATATCACAAAACATGAAACAAAAAATGGTAAGTTTCAAAAGGAGAACTTCTCCCTGACACTTTAATTCATCACACTCTCACCAATATGCAAAAACTGGACTTCAACTCCAAGGCCAAAGCTCTCGAGCCACACAGAAGCTCCTGGAATGAGGCCTCTCTTGTGCAACATGCCTTAGTGGCCATAATATAGTCCACAATAGCACATCCTCCTGAGGTAGAAGACCATGTAGAACACAACTCCTGTCTGCTCCCGTTCACTACATAGATTTAAAAACAAGCTCTCAGTTGAAAAGTCCATCTGCCAAAAATTGTATGCGATTATGAATGCTTGAGGAACACAGATCAAGTCTTATTTTTTACAGGTATTTTCTCTTTTTAAACAAAGCCACTTTATTCCCCCTCTAAAGAAAACAGGAACACATGCAAAATACTCAGATATGAAGCAATCCCATTTTATTCAACATTCACACACACACACACACACACACACACACACACACAATCCATCTGGAAAACAGGTAAAAACAGCACTACTGCTCTATATTCTGAGCATAATTTCACAAAAATGTACAAATGAAAATGGTAAAAATACTGAAAGTACATATACAGCATGTGGTAAAATAACTAATTAACACAACATAAATGTACAGCATATGAAATCAAAATTACGTTTCAGATATAGTAAAATGAGACAGAAGTACAGACAAAATTAAAGGTCTCATTTCAGAATTGCTAGGCTGCAATGATAATGACCCACCTGAAGTTATGCTTGTATGCAGATAAGTATTTTCAGAATTTTCACCTGCAGAGTCTATTACATCTGGCTGTGCATGCAGCTCTTGGAGGTATCAAGAAGATCTACAGACTGAAAACACAAAATGTTGTTATTCTTTACTTTGCAGACTTCAGTTCATTTTGCAGGCTTCAGTAGAATATATTTTTATTTTAAAAAAACACCACGAAATGTGCACCCTTTCTTCAAATGCCTGCTTATTTAGTTCAGAAAGTCACAAATCATGTAATATGCTTCCTCCCCAAACTTGTTGCATCTTCTAGCACAAAAGTTACAATCGTAGAGGAAAGCCCACAGCTTCTTTAGAACTGTTGTGTACATGCTTTAGAAATATAGGAAACAGAACAAAGCAACCTGGCAAAGTAAAATCTCTACAGAAGCCTGTCTGGTCCATTTATGCTGTTCTGAGATTGTATTTTTTTTTAAGTCATTGGAAGAGAAGCAGTAATAAAGCCACAGGCTTCAAAAGATGGAATTAGAGATGCTATTAGTGCATAGATGGGACCATAACTTTTGACAACAGCCAAGCAAAGAGCAGGAAGCAAAGTTTATTTTCAGGAAATAACAACCCTCTCAAGCACACAGAAATTGCCATCCTTGCCTCCATTTTCTGCCTTCCAGTCTTAGTCTAATGTGTGCTCTTACTAGAACCAGTTAGCGGTATGTATTAACTGTTAGCTTTATGAAATTCTGTACTTTCCAACAGAAGATAAGCTTGTAAACAAACACCAAGCAACAGGCATTTATTTCTAAAATTTATCATATATTCCTTAATTGCTTTTGAAAGTGCCAGTGAAATCTAGGATAGTTAACAAGATATAGAGAACAAATAATCAGATAAACCTTTTGAAGACATTATGATGCAGTGACACAATATTACAGGTTTGTTTCCTGTGTGTACTGGTACATTAGGTGTCCATACTACCTGTGCTGTCAACTTCTGTAGTTTTAGAGTATAGGAATTATAGCACAAGCAAGTCAGATCTTTACACAAATATTTCACATCTGTTTTAACAAGACAGACTAAAGAAGAAAGCAAACCCATGTGACAGCAAACAAGTACTTTTCTAGTTGCCCACCTTGATTCAGGCAACAGAATGCAACCACACATTTCAGAAAGATGAGTTCTTGTTCCTTATGGGAACAACAGCCAATTCTACTTCCCTAAGTTTATAGAGGGACTCATAGATCTGAGGTATCAAGTAGATTAATTGATTTTAGAGTCTGATAGTGAACGTCATACAAACATGCCAGGTTAGAGAAGCAATTGATTGAGTTTGGACAAACCCAAACATACAGCTTGTTCCTAAGTAAAAGGTGAAATAAGGCAAGGTTAAACAAGATTTCACAAATCTTTTTCTCCTTTATTTTTCTACAGAGGAACTCAAAAAACTATGTGAAAGTGACAAAATAAGTCCAGATGTTTTTTCTCCAATGGCTCCCTACAGCTATTCAGCTTCTCAGAAACCTGCCTTATCTTCTCGTTCTCATTTCAGAAAGCACCATTAATACAGTACAGTCAATGCATGTGGGAGAATTCAATCAGAAGCTTCTAGAAGCCAGCACTCAGTTTAAAAAGAAACAAGGAAAAGGCACAATTGACATTTGGTGGCTATTTGATGATGGAGGTAAGGAATTAATGTAAGAACCACAGGAAGAGAGATTTCTATGCTGCCATGCAAAAACATTTGGGAATTTGCACAAAACTGTTTTACAGTTATGTAGTTAAGTTTATCTTGAAATACTATAAACAGACAAAAAGCATCTCCAACATTGGCGGGGTTAAGGATAGCATTTTTACCATACAATGCACTAATTCTGTCTTCCTGCAATTTTCTATCTTTGTCTAGGTCTAACAATCCTAATTCCTTACATTCTAACTATCAGGAAGAAGTGGAAAAATTGCAAATTAAGGATCTTCACTGGAGGAAAAGTCAATAGGATTGAAGAAGAAAAACTAGTGTAAATATCCCTACTTTGCCTCACTGTTTAAAGAGTTTGAACTGATGAATATAACGCATATACAGCAGAAACTGGAATTACTCAGCACAACAGGTTTGCTGTAGCATGAGCAGTTCTAAAAGAAAAACAAAGTACCTCACAGAAAGGTGCTGAGTTTATGGCATGAGCCTTAAGGCTCATTGTAAATGGTGATTACCAAAGAAAACTCACATCCAGATATTTTCCCATTAACAGCTCATATTCCTTTCTCTGAGAAGAGCACTCTGCACACTGTAATGAGATTATCACTTGTTTTATGGGATTTACATGAGATTATCTAGTTAACAGTAAGTGAAATTGCACACGATGCTTCTCATGTGCAACTATCATAGCCCACATGAATATAATTAACCATAGTAAAAATGTAAGGAAGGTAAAGATCAAGTTAATCAATTAAAGACCAAGTCAGTTAACTTCTTTAAGAAGTCTAGATTTCATAATCATTTGCCTTCAAGCAAATGAAAGGTACTCATATAAGCTTATTATCATCACTGTATGTAGGACCTTTTCTTCTGAAGCACTTTACACACTACAGGCACAGCCATTTCACTACCAGGTGAAGTAGGCAATTTAGGATGAAAATCTGGGATGGATGCTACTTCTTAAAGAAATATAAGCACTACGTAGTTAGTTATCTCCATTTAAAACTCCAGTGGAAAGCAGGTAAGACAGATGCAAGAACAGGAGTATGAATTCAGCCAGTATCACTAGGATTACAGCACCGTGCCCCATCAAGACAGCTGCCACAGGTTTTGTTTGCACATAAAGGAAACCTTTACGGAGGAGAGTTCCTCCTCACTGCTGTGGTACTGCCAGTTACAAGGACTACCCTTAAAGTTAACGTCCTTAAGCAGAACAGATATGTACATGTTTGTAAAAAAGAAATAAATTTAGGAGTTCCCAACCATATTTATACCAAAGGCAAAACTGACAACCGATTCTCTACACTCAGCATGAGCACACAAAGCTGTAAACTATTCCTACTGTCAATTGGTGCAGAAGAGCACTGTATTTTCTCTTATGAAAATATGGAAAGACAATATTCGAGTAGATCAATATAAACTTGTGCATAAAAATATTTTAGGTATTTCATATCAACATTCTGGACCACATTTTCACTAGAACATACACTACCAACTACACTAAGAATTGTTCTTAATCCATGCATTTTTCCAAAATGTAAACACTCTTCAGTTTTTGTTATTTTCATAAATCATCATTTAAATAAATTATACCAAAGCGATCACATCAATCCAGTTTTGTAATTGGAAACTGAAACACTAACTAGGGCATTTAAAGTACTCTGTCATATATTTAAAGGTAATGAGACAAGTGCGTTTGATATCTTAACTCATTTATGCGTTCTCTTTGATGCAAGGCACTCAGAAATACAATGATAAAATATTATCTCTTTTGTTTTCAGGATGGCTTCGCTTCTAAGCAAATTTAGAATAAAATTTGCTGACATTAATATCATTTGTGACATCAATATGAAACCCAACAAAGAGAGGTAAGAAAAATTACCAAAATGCATTATTTAGCAGCAGGCATTTATCAGGAGCTTGTTTCTTGTATGCTGAGCTTTAAAAAAGAAAAAAAAAGATGATGATGAAATAACAGTCACTTTATTGCAATAATTTCCCAAGTACCCAGAGTACGAAAAAAGAGAATAACATTTTAACAATCACAATCCAAAGTGACAAAACTATAGACAGCCTTTTTCTTCATGTTGCAATGGTAAGACATAATTTTAATGAAGACTAACCAGACAATATATTTAAAAGCCACTACATTTAACAGGGCAGTTTATACTGGCTTTTCATATCCATTAGTTTGCAATACACTTCATCATATTAGCCAGTCAGTCACAGTTCTCTTCTCTGCTAACTCACTTTTCTGCATTTTACCATGCATTCAATAAACTTAACAACTTTCTGGTCAAAAACAAGCATACTTTTTCCTTTCCCCTGAGAATAATATTATAATACACCCCCATAACTCAAATACATTTTTAAAATTTTTTATTTATCTATGGAATTAATGTTCTCAGGTGAGTTAGGAAGTTGGTAAGATAGTGCTCAGGAAACTCCACCTCCAACTGTATTAGCTACGCTTATTTTCAGATCCTGTAGCTACTAAACATTTTGCTCTCCATAGCAAATTATAAAAAATAATAATAATAATCTGACCTTCACAGATGTCTCCTGGTTTTTCTGGCACTTCATATAGCAATGCCTTCCATACACACATTATAGGAAGCCCTTACTTCAGAATCTGTTGTAAAAAACCCCAGTAAAAAGGATAAATGCACCTCCTCTCTTCTGCTCAAGGGTGATCTGCTTGCTCATATAACATTTGGATTTCTCCTTCCATGCACTGGAGATTATCCAAGATATTCAAGACTCCCTGCTTTCTAAAGCATCTCTCTATCACTATAGCCTATTTCTTCTACTTTTTGTATACAAAAGTATATAGTGCTTTGCTCTAGGAACAACTAAATCCTAATTAATAATATTGCTCTTGGTCCTAAAGAATGTTCTCATCTTACTATCCTCCCTTCCAACCCACCCATAGTCCATAGATACTTCACAGTCAAAGGGCTCCTCTTCGCCCCCCAGAGCCTTCCACTGAGCTGAGGTGCAACCTAAGGTTAAGTCTCTTAATTCTTTTAGGCTCTGGTTTTCCCCACAGATAGCATAGAATATAAAACACACATTAACAGAAATAGAAACACATTTGCATTAACAAAACATAAACTTCCTGGAGTCTCTATGGGATTCCAGAAATTTCCAACCAACAGACAAGCAGGGATGTACGGCAGGATGATAAACTTCTTCAGAGAATCAATAGCTTCAAGAACAAATTAAGAGAGAAACTATGGAAAAGGTGGAAAAATGTACAGATCTCATCTCCATATAACAAAAACTAGAAACAAAAAACTAAAAGCAAACAACAACAACAAACACCCAAAACTGCAGCATTTCCCTCAACCCCTTGCTACAGGAGATTTATATTGTCTGTTTTTCTATTTCATTACATCTGTGACAGTAAAACTGTATAACCAG